TTGAGTTATTTTTAAGATCGATAGTTGACATGATTCAATAGCATAGTCTTAACTTGAATGGGTAGTCCAGCGTTGTGGAATTTGTCATAGATGAACAATAAATCCAGACGTCAAGGGTTTGATCCTTTTTTGTTATTCCCACGCTTAACCGATACATGTGATTTGTGGGTAGTTGTATGTATTTAGGTTTACCCTCGCTAACAAAAAAAAAAAATTGTATCTTTTAAATTCTTCGTTGCAACTATATTATTGGACATATGATTAAGTTGATAAATTAAATTATNACAAAAAAAAAAAAATTGTAACTTTTAAATTCTTCGTGGCAACTATATTATTGGACATATGATTAAGTTGATAAATTAAATTATTTTTTATATTTAAATAATAATATTTTTGAGGCTATTTCAGGACTTGTGTTAGTTATACAGTTTGATTGACTTCAAAGTCGCCAAAATAATAGTTTTGATCGATCTTTTCCTAGCAATCAACGTGCTTGCAGACAGAAAGTTCATTAATTATTTTCCTAAAGACTTTGTAAACGAAAAAGCATGACCTTACTAACCAATCAGAAGGATAAAGCATATAGCCAAAGTGCCAAACCAGACAACCGAATGCTTCCTGTCTCATGAGACTTTTCTATCCAAATTTGGCTATAGATTCATCAAAAGTTCAAACAAAGAGATGTTTTTAAGTTGTCGTTACGGTATCGAAATCTCATTTTTCGATATCATATTTTTACTTTTTATTCAATCAAAATGGGTCAAGCATTATTGATGCTTTCGACAATAAAATATTATATTTACATACAATGCACTCTTCTATTACGATATTATTATTAGGTCTGATAATCGAACGAACTTGAGCCAAACATGTCGAGNTTGTCGTTACGGTATCGAAATCTCATTTTTCGATATCATATTTTTACTTTTTATTCAATCAAAATGGGTCAAGCATTATTGATGCTTTCGACAATAAAATATTATATTTACATACAATGCACTCTTCTATTACGATATTATTATTAAGACTGATAATCGAACGAACTTGAGCCAAACATGTCGAACTTATTTTTTTAAATGAATCTATAAAATTTTTCAAGTTCAGTTCGTTCTCTTGAACGAACTCAAAACAAGTCAAACTCAAGTTAAATCCGACTATTTATATATAAACGATTCGAGTCTCCCCGGGTTCAAACTGAGTGTATCGAACTCATTTTTTAAATTAACCTAAAAAATTGCTCAAATTTTGAACAAACTCAAATTTAAATTAAATTTAAATATTTCGAATGGATTATCAAGATCAGTACAATTACATAAACTCGGGATACCAATNAGTTCAGTTCGTTCTCTTGAACGAACTCAAAACAAGTCAAACTCAAGTTAAATCCGAATATTTATATATAAACGATTCGAATCTCCCGGGTTCAAACTGAGTGTATCGAACTCATTTTTTAAATTAACCTAAAAAATTACTCAAATTTTGAACAAACTCAAATTTAAATATTTCGATTGGATTATCAAGATCAGTACTATTACATAAACTCGGGATACCAACAAAAATCACCGTTCTTCAACAGCCTGGCATAGCATTTTTCTATGCTACTCCAAAAAAGGGTGATCGTCGTCATCTTTACAGCTGGTAGACTTTTCTCTGCGACTAGAAAATGTATCTTTGACTGAGGAGAGGAGAGAAAATGGGCGTCCACATCCAACTAACCATTATTTCTAAGGGTGAATTATACTTTTCACCCTCAATGTGACATTTTTGTTAATTTTTCATTTGTATCAATGAGTTGATTTTTCATAAAAAAAAATATAGAAGTTAAAAGAATAGTCAAATTGTAACAATTTTGATACATTGAAGGTGTNCAAAAAAGGGTGATCGTCGTCATCTTTACAGCTGGTAGACTTTTCTCTGCGACTAGAAAATGTATCTTTGACTGAGGAGAGGAGAGAAAATGGGCGTCCACATCCAACTAACCATTATTTCCAAGGGTGAATTATACTTTTCACCCTCAAAGATTAAGTTTTCTACATTACACCTTTAATTTATCAAAAGTATTATAATGTGACATTTTTGTTAATTTTTCATTTGTATCAATGAGTTGACTTTTCATAAAAAAAAAATATAGAAGTTAAAAGAATAGTCAAATTGTAACAATTTCGATACATTGAAGGTGCAATGTATAAAATTTAATTTTTAAAGGTACAAAGTAAAAATTTTANTAAAAAAAAATATAGAAGTTAAAAGAATAGTCAAATTGTAACAATTTTGATACATTGAAGGTGTAATGTATAAAATTTAATTTTTAAAGGTACAAAGTAAAAATTTTAAAATGTTTTAAGGCCAAAAATGCGAAAACCTGTATTTTTTAATCCAAAATCAACGGTATTTTACATGTGGTACGCAGTGGAGAGAGAAAAATTGAAAGACAATCTACATTGAGCTAACATCTTTTAATTGATGATGAGTACTAGCTGTCAATAACAGTCTGGTACCTGCCAATGACAGAATATAAGATGACATCCGTTGATTCGTGATGAGTACTAGTTGTCATTGACAGCCTGGTACCTGATAAACACTGAATATTTTCNTTTAAAGGTACAAAGTAAAAATTTTAAAATGTTTTAAGGCCAAAAATGCGAAAACCTGTATTTTTTAATCCAAAATCAACGGTATTTTACATGTGGTATGCAGTGAAAAATTGAAAGACAACCTACATTGAGCTAACATCTTTTCATTGGTGATGAGTACTAACTGTCAATAACAATCTGGTACCTGCCAATGACAGAATATAAGATGACATCCGTTGATTCGTGATGAGTACCAGTTGTCATTGACAGCCTGGTACCTGATAAACACTGAATATTTTGTCGTAGATTTAAGATTTCTTATTAGGAGAAGGCAAATTTAAACTAGGAGTCTTGTAAATGTCGCCATCATTATTATCAAATTTCATTTGAGTTGTTGGGATTATCCAAGTTATTGAAGCTCTAAGCAAGCAAGTCAAGAAAGTTGTTGCATTTTGAAAGATGAATTCGAGGAAGAGAATCTATATTTAAACAGTTGGTTTGTCCTATGGTTTAAGCAATTGATTTATCCTATCTAGGGTCAAAATGTGAAAATTCTTAATTTTAAGGGGGCATAATATAGAATTAAAATTTTAAGTCCTCCGTATATATTACATATACCCACACACAAAAATATTTCTCTCACTATAAAGTGGCTCGGTCCCTGCAAATGATCTAAATCTCCAGTAACAGGACAAACTTCGGAGACTGAAGTAAAATTTGACTTAAAATCGATTGCAATAGAGCATCTAAAATTTGGTCGTATTACCGCACAAACTTAAACACCATGCAAGAACGACACGGCTAAATCTCAATTGCTTATACAAATTGTGCATCTATGTTGGACCAAACCTAGTGCTCTAATACAAACACATAGATGTAATAGGGAAAAATGAGAGTCAAATTATGAGTTTAGGAATATATATATAATGTATCAATTCTNCGGAGACTGAAGTAAAATTTGACTTAAAATCGATTGCAATAGAGCATCTAAAATTTGATCGTATTACCGCACAAACTTAAACACCATGCAAGAATGACACGGCTAAATCTCAATTGCTTATACAAATTGTGCATCTATGTTGGACCAAACCTAGTGCTCTAGTACAAACACATAGATGTAATAGGGAAAAATGAGAGTCAAATTATGAGTTTAGGAATATATATATAATGTATCAATTCATTGAAAACACAAGTTCACAAGACCACTAAAAGTGGAGAACAACTTATTGCACATCTTTTTGATAAATTGCATAGTATAAAATACTGGTTATCTGACTTTCGAAAGAAAAATGTTAACATGATGGTTAAATACTCAATATGCGAAACTCTTGCCAGTACAAAANGCACATCTTTTTGATAAATTGCATAGTATAAAATACTGGTTATCTGACTTTCGAAAGGAAAATGTTAACATGATGGTTAAATACTCAATATGCGAAACTCTTGCCAGTACAAAATTTTAAAAGAGTTAGATATATGAAATCCTATCCCAGAGGTAGAATTGCTAAAACTTAAAAATTTTGAATGATAAAATTAAGGAAAAACTTCATCCACACCCCTTGTAAATTGTCCTATCTTTAAGCAAACCACTTATATTATCTGAAACTTCACTGCACTCTCTTTTAGTTTATATATTTGTGTCGTTCACACCCCTTGCTGTGAATCAATGTTACTAAAAAACTTAAAATTGTTGATGATACATTAACTTTTTTTCTTATTACTTCAATAAAGAAAATCTTACAATCAAATTTAGTATAAATAAAAGAGAAAATGTCTAAAAATGTTGACAAAATACNGTCGTTCACACCCCTTGCTGTGAATCAATGTTACTAAAAAACTTAAAATTGTTGATGTTACATTAACTTTTTTCTTATTACTTCAATAAAGAAAATCTTACAATCAAATTTAGTATAAATAAAAGAGAAAATGTCTAAAAATGTTGACAACATATCTAAAAAAAAATGGCATTTTAAGTACTCAAAGAGGACTAAAATAGATTATTAATTAGATTTCATAATAATTAAAATAAGAATTAATTATTGAACACATAATTCATAATTTATTATTCAATTAAATTACAAATATAACTTAATTTTTTATAGAAAAAACTATTATTTAAATTTTAACTTAATTTAAATTACCCATGCATTGCTAGTATGGGTAAATACACATTTATGTGTGCATTATATCTTGTCAAATAGAATATATAGGTAAATATTTAAGTTTTGAAAAGGCAAAAGAATCACTTCCGTTACTTCTGTTTGGAGACAAACTCTAACAAAAGGTGTCAATGAAGTTTCATATAATATAGGGAGTTTCTTTGAAGATATGGTATTTTAGAAGGAGTGTGGATAAAATTTTCCCTAAAATCGAAGCACGGGTAAGAGTAGCTCTAATACTACAGTGGTAAACTGACCTAAGACAATCCTCGAATAAAAAGTTTGAAGAGGAAATAAACAAGCCAAAACCTTCCTCAGTTTTAGATAACAAACAAATGGTTTGATGTGTTTCTGCAAATGTGCACCAAACCTATACTATTGAACGCAGCCAATGCCACCATAAGCCAGATAACTACTGCTAACATTAGTGCCAACAAAAACACATTCAAGCTACAAATAAGAAAAATATGTCTATGGCAAANGTTTGATGTGTTTCTGCAAATGTGCACCAAACCTATACTATTGAACGCAGCCAATGCTACCATAAGCCAGATAACTACTGCTAACATTAGTGCCAACAAAAACACATTCAAGCTACAAATAAGAAAAATATGTCTATGGCAAAACATAGGAGAATGATGTGCCATATTTATTCATACATGGAAGCCAATTTAAATTCCGGCCAAGAGTACAAACTCAAACTTAAATCCCTGATAAGAGTTTTATGTATGAAATGGAAGTTATAACTCTCCTGGCAAAAACTCCAAAATTCCAACTACCCATGAACGGTACCAAGATTAGGCATTTTTTGGCACCTCAGCAGACTTGATAATGTCAATGAATTCCGGCTACAGAGAGAAGAGAGACAAGAAGAACAAGAAGAAGGAAAAGAGAGTAAGAACAAGTTGACAAGTCAAGAAGAAGAAGAAAAATAAAGCAGCCACAGCATTACCTTGAGAGAAGCTCCACCGACTAGAAAACCATCAACATCAGGTTGTGCAGCCAATTCCTTGCAGTTGGCACCACTCACAGAACCTGCAACAGTTGTGCATTTAGAAAAATGGAATGAAAAATCAAAGGGGAAAGGATAATAAAATGGGACCCACTCTTAAAAATGAGGCACTATTTCAAACAAAAACTTCAAAAATTTGGTATGTTGGGGAGATGATAAATCAATCAATGATAAATTAGACCATGTAGGCCGAATTATTTTCAACTGCAATGATGTATTATGTGTAGAGGTGATAATGAGAGTGTGGATCACTTGATTTTGCATTGTCATTTGGCAATGAGCATTATGGAATAAGTTTTTTAACATTGCGGGTCTTTGTTGGGTTGCACCCAGGGATATGGTCTCCACGTTTTGTTTGGATGATATGTGGTTTGGGGAAAATAGAAAATGGGTCATCTATCATTGACCACTATCCCAAGATCATGGAAGGCGGAGCAACATCTGCTCCACGTTGTTGTCCGGCTATTCACTGATGCAAACCTCCATCCAAAAACCTGATATTGATCCTCCAAAAAAACCTAAGACACTTGATGATGGGGGTCATGTAAGAATTGGATAAATATGATAGGTGTAGGAATTGGATAAATATGATAGATAATTATGATAGTTATTTTGATACTTTTAATATTTATCTAATTCCTACACGATCCCCATCACCTGAACATTTAGAAAAATGTTCGTCATTTTTCTTGTCACCGTTTTATATCACTTCATACATGGATGCCTTTATATCCTGTCATGTAAGTAGTGACATAAAACAGTATCGAAAAAAGTGGTGATATATAAACATTACTCGATCACACACTATGTAAGACATTATGGTGACTGAATATCCAGCAGTCTCTAAAATACAGCCAGAAGAAACTCATAGCCAACAAGAAATTGGCATGTCTCGCACTATTCTTTTGGTTAGAAGAAAGTTCAAATTCAAAAAATTGCAGGGGTATTATGGAAGTAATGGCTAAAGTGAGACCTAAATTTTGACAACAATGGAATAGCCAAAAGACTAGAGGAGAATTATTTGGGGCGATAGAGAAACAAATACCTCCATAGATAATCCTGATTGTAGCAGCAACTTCAGGGCTGGTGTTCACTTGAAGCCATTTCCTTAATTCAGAATGTACCTGTTGTGGAGAAAAGACTTACTGAGAAAGATTGCATAGTGGAAACTGGAAAACTTGCAGCAAGTTGATGTTATAGGATCTCTTCCAGATCAACCATTACTAGAAATTAGTTACATGTAGTGCAATCACAGACCTCCACATACCAGATGAGATGGACCATAAAAGACTATTCGGAAGTGACTCAGATTGGAAGGCATGCACTGCCATAACTATGGGTTTTTAGGTGGTGTGTGTATGGGTGCAAGGGGGAGGGGAGGCACCGCCATTTATTATCTAATATATCATATACCCTTGATCAGGTTGAAAAAATCGTAAGAGCCTATCATTCAAATAGTTTGGAGATAAGCAACTTGAGTATTGTTCTTGGTAAATAAAATATGTAATTTGAAGAACATATCATCATCGTTTCAAAAAAAAAAAAA